TTCTTGTTTGTTCTTCTGTTATATTTATCTAAAATATTAATTTCTTTTAGTGCTTTAGTAGGATCCTTTATGGCATTTTTGTTTACTCCTTCTCATAGTCTATTGATTAATTTTTCAAATTTTACATTTTTTCTTTTGTATTCCCTATTCCCTATAGCTTTACTATTATAATCATTCAATTTTATTAATCTTTAGATAGTTAGATCTATGCTAATATTGTTGTATTATAAGTGGAGATATAATTGTTGCATTCAGTAAATATTTACTGCAAGTCAATATTTGATTTGTCTTAGTACTGACACTATAAGTATTGACCTCTTGACATAGTTAACATGATTTTTATGGTATGTCAATATTCAGTGTGCCTTTGACTCTATAACCTTTGCTGATCTTATTGCTGTTGCCAATGGCATGGTTATTGCTATTAATTGGTTTTCTCTGTTTGTCAATATCTAGGTTGTCTCTGTAATTTACAGTAATGTGTTCCTTTCCCAGATAATTGACATATCATTGGCAAGTCCCAGAAGTCCAACACCAACCCAAAGACTGAATCTTAAAAGCTATTTTACACAAATTACTTATAAAGGTAAATTCAGAGCTGGGCATGGTGGTGCACACCTTTAATCCCCACTTGGGAGACTGAGGCAGGAAGATCACCATGAGTTTGAAGCTAACCTGGGCTGTATAGTGAGTTCAAGGCCAGCTGAACTGCACAGAGAGACCGTGTCTCAAAAAAAAAGTAAATCCATTAGAATCACAGCAGACTTCTCAACACAAGCAAGGGCCAAAAGAGCTTGGAGTGAAGAGTTTAAACCTGTAAAAGATTTTAATTTTCAGTTCAAATGGATATATCTAGCAAACTTATCTTCCTTTATTTTTCTAATCTATTTCCTCTGTTTAGATCAGATAGATTGTACTTGCAGTTACTGAAATCCTCAATACATCCTCCATAGCCTTCTATCCCTGTATCCACATTGTAATATTGAATCCTTCAGCGAGTTTATTTAATTTTGATGATTATATTTTTCATTTAAAATTTTCTTTTTATGGTAATGTTGTTGTTTGGGAGTTTTTTGATCAAATCAGGGCAATTAACATGTCCATATCCTGAAACACCTATCATTTCTTTGTGGTGAGAACATACAGAATTTTCTCTTGGAACATTTTGAATGTTGCAATTCCATTACTATTAAGTATAATCACCCAACCATGAAATAAAAAACCAGAATTTCATTCTACTATTTAATTATAACATTGTCAATCGGTATAATATTACAGTTTCAAAATCTATTTGATTCCTTTTAGTAAGTTCTATTTCTTTGCTGAAATTTTCTATTCTCTTTATGTGTTTCAAGGAAATGATGATTGCTTGTTGAAGTATTTTGATGGCTACGGTTCTTGTCAGGTAATTTCAACATCAATTCACAGAGTTGGCATTCTATACTATTTTTTTAGTACTTGGTGTGACCTCTATGGACATATTTATCATAGACTTATTGGATTTTAGGTTATACTCATTCTTTTTGAAAGCAGGAAGTCTTCCTGTCGAGGTGTAGCTCTAGTTGGTAGGAAACTATATTTGTTTAGCCTGCTCCTGGATCCAACTGACACAGTCTACCAAAAACTGAGTGTGACTCAATCTGCCTCCTTCCAGGTGGGTGATATGGAAATTTACCTCCCCCTCTGCCCTGCCATCTCCTGCCCAGTGAAAGCTGAGGCAGGTAAGGCAGAGTTCTGAGAAAGCTGTGCTCATAGTGAGGCTGCAGTCTCACTGGGGAAGGAGAAAGTGCTGTTGAAGATCATAGAGGTTTAGCTCCCTTCTGGGGGCACATGAACAAGAAAGTGGGCAGAGTACAAACTGCACCCTCCTCAGCCGGCCTCATTCAATTTTATTGCATCCAGGTGAGATTGGAGGTTTGCTTCTCCAGTGGATCCTTGACACAAGCATGCAGGGGAATAGGTAGGAGGGTTCTTTTTTTTCCTAGCATATGTTTGAAGTATAGCAAATATAACTAAAGGTTTTCTGGTTTGTTAAGGTCACCCTTTTCCCAACTATTTTTATAGAACTACAGGCTTTTTCTTAGAGCATTTTAGTTTGTGTTTGTTAGTGACCCTGGGTGGGAGACTCTGCTTGCTTTTTCAGAGCATGTGGAAGCAATAAGGAAACCCATGATACGCATTCTTAGGTTGACGCACAAGTCATGAAATCCCTAAGCAGTGTGCCATCTTTGTACTCTTAAAAGTCAAGCTTTGTAATGACAAAAATTAGTGGAGAATGAATTAGGAGAACACAGCAAGGTTTCTTTTTAGTAATAAGAAGTTCAGAAGAAAGGAAGCTACATTATTTTCAGTGGAACCAGAAATGCATGTCTTCAAGCATTTAAGCACATTCATTCAGCTTGTTATGTGTTTTGTTTCAGAAAGTCAATCCAATGTAAATTAGCCTGCCATATTCAGATGTGTCAACATACTTAACTTTGAACAGAAAGGGTTTGCTAGGAAAGAATGTCTTAGAAATAAAGGGCCCTGGGGGGAAGTGTCCTCTAACAGCTCATCATTCCACAACTTTATAGCTAGTGTGTGCCCTCAAAGAGGTGGAACTGTTTAAAATGTATTTGTGACCTAGATTTATTGCTTATGCCGTATTACCTTGGTAAAGAAAGGATTCAAACCCAGCAGACTCAGTAAAGCAAGAGCAAAAGTTTAATTCAACCACCCATTACTTATTAAATTATCTTTATTTGTTCATCTCAAGTAAATATTTAAGGTTACTATGTCTCAGGAGTCTAAAATTAGAGAGTAGAGAAACACGAAGTTACTATGGTTGTCTACATGAAGCCTCCAGCATTATGCAAAACAAACCCTGGATATATCACAACCAGTGCAATCAATATTTTGCAGAAAATACACCTAGTTCTACAAGAACTTCTTGGTGTCCTTTGATTCGTCCAGAGCTTCAAGAAGACTTCAAAGAAATGATCATACAACACATAGTGCAGTTCCTATAGAACAAGTAGGTTTGCCCAGGTTGCTCTGGTTGCACATAGAGCTACTCCATGTAAGAGGGTCTTGAGGCAACAAAGAAAATGGATATGGTTAAGTATTTCAAAGAAGATCAATTTATATATTACTTGAATGTGTATGCTCAGGGACCAAAAGAAAATCTCAAGAGATGGAAAGAAAACAAGGTCCATGCTCAGAACTAAGACATGTTGAAAATGTTTACCCTTACTCAAAGATGTTTGGAAGAATTAAAGGAGAAAATATAATTTTAGATTTATGGTCATGGTTTAATGGAGAATCAGTTGAAAAAGAAAGAGACAGAAGACAAAATTTGCCAGGGGTTATATTTGTGTGTCTTTTCTTGAAGGAAATAGACCCAATAGAATATTGTATATATGTAGCAATTACACACATACACATATTCCCTTCCATGTATTTCTGTATATACATGCATACATTATCTTTCTATCCATCATCTATCTATCCATATATTATCTGTATACCTATGTATCTATCATCTATCTATCATCTAAATGGGTAGTTTTAAATATTTAACACACGCAATTGTGGAAGACAAGTCCAAAACCACAGGGCAGGTGAACAAATTGAAAATACTAGCAAGGTTGACGTTACTGCCTGGAGTCTAAAGCTAGTCTGGAGGCAAAACTGATTCCTGTTCAAGGGAGCTCAGTCTTTTCTCTTATAACCTTCAGTGGGTTGGGTAAGATTGATCTACATTATGAGAGATAACCCATTTCATTCAATGTCCATTGGTGGAAATATTAACCAGCCTTTTATAATACCATCAAAACTATGTCTGGACTGGTTCTCAACCAAACATTTGGGCCCCAACATCAAGTAGGTTAACACAGAAAATTAAGCAACAGGGATACTAGTGTGCACTAAATGTAAGAAGGAACAGCTTGAAGTGCAAGTATTGATAATATAGAGGAATACCTGATAAATGCTGGATTTAGAAAGCATGAGGCTTTGTGATTATAGAAGTGTAGAAGGAGAAGAAAAAGAAAATACTCTCTTCTGAATCAATAAAGCTAATGATTCTTACTGGAAGGGAAAAATTTGAGGAAGAATCTAGGTAAAGAAGAGAAATAAATGTTTTAGTTGTCAGCAAACAGAAGCATCTTAAAATTTTCAGGGGAAAGACAGTCCACCTGCTCCAAACTTCTTCAGTGATATCAGTCTGACTGTAAGTCAGTAAGTCCAAGAACTGGCTCCATAGTTCCTTGAGTAAGTTAGGAAAACTGGTCATTTCTACAAAGGAAGTCACCTTTTTGACCTAATAGTGAAATTTGCCAGTTAAAGAGGGGCAGCTCACTCTATTGTTTTTCATAGGCTCTTTACATCCAAGACTGGAATCAGAGGCCAAAACAGACCATAGATTTATGAGTCCACAAATTCATACATAACAGTTAATTTTACTGCAAGAAAAATATTTTCATTAACTTCACCGCCTGTTCTACTTTTTCATTTAGTCTCAGACTGTACTCAAGGACTATAATTGCCATGCAAATTTCAAGATTAGTTGCCATTGAAAGTGGACACAATCTTAAGTATATAGAGGTATAATTATCTCAATGTATAGCAGATACAGTTAACTAGTTTTGAAAAATTATGACTATAACTTAGAAGAAATTGCAAGGGAATATTAACTCAGAGGAATTCTTTAATTATAAATTACCTTTATTAAAGTTAACTCATTATCACACTTTGATTAATATTTTGTATGAAAATCCAACTTTTTTTTTTTTTTTTTTTTTTTTTTTTTTGGTTTTTCTCCGGTACTGGGAACCGAACTCATGACCTTGCGCTTGCCAGGCAGGCGCTTTGCCACTGAGCTAAATCCCCAGCCCCTGAAAATCCAACTTATACAGTTACTAAAATGCTCTCTGCACTGCATAGTTCTAATCAACAGATATATTGCAACTGCAGCTGCACTTTTCTTTTTATTCTTATGTCTATATAATATTGTTAGTATATCATCTTACAAAATAACAAATGTCACTAATAGAATATTTTCTACCAAGCTCTCTCTTCAAAGCCTCTTTGATTTCCTTGTTCCTGAGGCTGTAGATGAGGGGGTTCAACATGGGGATCACAACCATGTAGAACACAGACACCACCTTGTTCTGGTCAGTGGAGTAGCTGGACTTGGGCATCACATAAATGAAGGTAATGGTCCCATAGAACAGGGTGACTGCAGTGAGGTGCGAGGTGCAGGTGGAGAAGGCTTTGCGGTGCCCCTCAGTGGAGCGCATCTTCAGGATGGTGATGAGGATGTAGATGTAGGAAACGGCTATGACAATCACTGTGACCACAATGATGGAGCCAGCTGAAAATGAGGGAACAACTGCAGGGACACTGACATCAGAACAGGAGAGCTCAACTAGAGGAGCAAAATCACAGAAAAAATGATTGACCTGATTTGGTCCACAGAAAAGTAAAGAATAGAAGCAAAGAGTGAAAGAGCAAGTGTTAAGAAAACCACCTGTGTAAGCAACTAGAAGTAAAAGAACACAGACTCTTGTGGACATTTTGGTTGAGTAAAGCAGTGGGTTACAGATTGCCACAAAGCGATCATATGCCATGGCAGCCAGAAGAAAGCACTCACTTGATCCAAAGAAAACAACAGAACCAAGCTGAATGGCACATCCAAGGTAGGAGATTGTGTTCATCTCCACCAGGAAGTTTACCAGCATATTAGGTGTGACAGATGATGAATAGCCTATGTCCGCAAAAGCCAAGTGGCTCAGAAAAAGGTACATGGGATGGTGGAGCTGAGAGGAGAGTCTGATAAGAATGATTGTGCTGAGATTACCAGATACAGTGACCAGGTAGATGCACAGGATGATCATGAAGAGGATGACTCGAAGGATTGGATCATCTGTTAAGCCCAATAAAATGAATTCGGTCACTGCAGTGTGATTCCCATCCATCAGTGAGTCCATGAGACAATACAGCTGCTGCCAAAACAAACCTGTGATGTATACACATGTGGAGGTCATTGTAAAGAAACACTCAGGAAAATTTGAAGTAAGAATTTTTATATATTGATGTGTAAGGAAAAATTGTATATTTTACAATTGCTTTTTGACAAAACACCCAAAATGTATATCTTATTTATTTTTTTCAGAATGAAAACTTCTGGTTTTCACACTAAAGTATATCCACAAAACTTTTTTAGTCATTAATTTTTTGATACAGGTTCTTGGTAAGTTAGTAAATTTCCTAGAGCCCTCAAACATTTTCAGGTTTTAGGAGTGCTGGCATTGCAGGTGTGCACCATCAAGCCCAGCTCACTGTGCATATTTTTATAAATGTTATAGAATGTATAAAATTGGTATTAAAGCTAAACATTTTAAAATGTGAGATGATAATAACTAAAGGAAATTTTAAGTCTAAGAAAAAGATTGAAATATATAAAGGACAATCTGCGGAGAATTGAGTTACAGCTCATATAACAGCAAATATTTATTGAATGTTTATTAAATTATGGACCCAAAGTTAGGCATTTCATATATATAGTCCTATTTTAGTTTCCCTTAAGTAATACTTAGTACTTCTCTTATTTCTATTTATTACTTCTATTATTTACTGATAAGGAACCAGTTTGAAATAGTAAACAACTTGTCTAAGGTTTTAGATAAAGTAGTGAAATGAGACAATGAGCTCTGGGCAGGTTTAACTCAGTTCTTTAAATAAAATTAAGTAATGGTTACAGTGAGACTGAATGCACTTGTAAATGGAGAGATAATATGACAGGCTTTCAGTTTTCTGACAGCTAACCTATAAAACATGTGCCTAGTTAATAACATGGTTTATCATATCTATCAAATAAGTCATACTTTTAAAAAGGAGAAATACAAGTTTCTTGATAGGTCAAAGAAGAAAGGAAAAGGAATTTAAAACTAAGGTTATGAATAAAGCTACCTATCATTAATTTATCAAATATGTCATATTCCTGATTTAAATTTTGTTTTACCAATAGTTTGAAATATTAAATTAACCACTATATAAATCATTATATCAGTAATCTCAACATAAATAAAGCATGTAAAATCAAACACCTAAAATTATTTTCTAAAGTCAAATGTTTCTAATTGGATCATCATATTGTGAGATAATGTTATTCTCAATATAGTATACAGATAAATAAAGTTTTAGACTAAACAGTCAATAAGCTTACTAATGTTCACCCAGTAAGGGAGCAGGCTGATGCTTGTCTCTTAAGATTTTTGGCTTTATATCCTTGTCCAAAGTGACTTGTGCTTGTGATGCTACAGCATTCAGACCAGTAATCACAGCAGGTCTTTTCACATATTTACAGAAACCTTCAAATCCCTTCAAAGGTAGTGAATTTATTGGCATTGTGGCTACATACCACATACTGATACCATGTGGGCTTTTGGTATTATGGGTGGGTAAATGTGAAATATTAGTAAACTGATTTCTGTTTATTTATGCACAGTAATTTACTTGAGGATTTAAGTTAATTCATCTAAACTTATTACTAGCTGATTGCTTACTATATCTGCCCAGCTTGTGAATGCAGATAGAATTTCAAAAATAAAGTCTCGGGCTGGGGATTTAGCTCAACGGCAAAGCGCCTGCCTGGCAAAGCGCAAGGTCGTGAGTTCGGTTCCTGGTACCGGAGAAAAACAAACAAACAAAAAAAAAATAAAAAAATAAAGTCTCAAATGGCAAAAAAAGAACAAACCAGATTCAATCACAAAAGTCAAAATCTTACCTCTTGAAATGAGAATTCATTCATCTTTCATAAGAAATTCAAGGTGTTGTTATTGTAGACCAACTATGGTACCTTGTATGATTGTTTCCCTTTGGGTATTGATCTCTGAAGATTCTAGAGATTCAAACGTGAATTCAAATACACCAAGGACCATTGGCACATTCTCAAGTGAGTATTAAGCAGTACACTTCCCCAAACAAAACATCTTCAAGCATCAGTCAGTCCTTCTGTTACCTTTTTCTTTTAACTGTTATGTAAGAATTAATGCACTTTCATTTGATAATTACAGTTAGGTGTATTATGCAATAAATTATCTCACAGTGACATGTTGATTCTAAATTTACTTTGATATTCAAGCTAAAGAATAATAAACTGAAAATGCAAACTGGTAACACTAACTTTGTTCATTCAATATCTGTTCATCTGATGAGTACTTTGTGAGTATGAGTATTTAATAAATACTTTGAATTATGTGAAGATGAGTGACATTTAAATTTAGATTTTAAATAACACAATTATTTAATATATGTCTACAATATTTAAAGGCAAAGTCTCAAAATACTTTTGAAGTTATATTGGAAGAACTATAAAGTAAAATATTTTGATAACTTCTGACTATGACTGAGTCTTGTAATTAATGTACCTCCAGTGGAGGAGGGTAGAATGGCAAACTTCAGTTAACTGAAGACTCAATAACTCTCTGCTTATTCAAATTTTAGAAAGTCCTACCTCACCTGCCTCATGCCCTCTTGATGGTTGCTGTGGTTGATCATTGAGAGTACTAACCAACTTATTTGGAGCTTGCTGTACCATGTGCTGTGCTTAAGACTCTGCACATATTACCTCATTACTCCTATGTGTAAAGCCCAGACTGTGGCAACTGTCCCAGATGAAATGCTTCTGTGATCACGGTGGTACATGGAGAAGCAATCAGATAAGTGATTTTTGCTGGATGTAGGCAGCAGGATGCAGGCTCAAGCAAACCACTAGACTGAATGCCATCATCTTTAGATCCAGCTTCCTCTGGTACCTGACCTCCCGCACAGAATGGAGACCCTGAGTCCATCCTGACCTTACCTCTCAGGGTCAATGCTTAGACCTCACCCTTTCCCATTTGTTTTCCATGGTTACCTCTCACACAGTCTCTGTGACAGGGTAACTTGGAGTCATGGAATGAAGCTGTAGTATAAGGTGTTCAATGCCACATAATCAATCCCTTCTCAAAATAGTACCTGATTAAAAATGCTCTGGAAATATTCCAGGTGCTGCATTGGATTTCTTCTCCAACTCTATTCTGCCATAAAGAAGGCACTGTTGGTTTAAAAACCCATGCTGTTTAAAGCTTATACTGATTGTGGGATTTTCCTGGGACTAATGATGCTGGCTCATCCCTTATAACTACCTGTAGCAGCCAATTATGTTAGGCTTATCTTTTCTCTGGAGAGTTTGCCTTTTCCTCAGTCAAGTTGGTTGTTTGATTGTCACTTCTGAAGCTCTGTGCTGAGAGGGACCCAAATTACTGAGACAGGAGTTAGAAGTCTGATGCCAACAACATGCATCAGACTTGCAAGGCATAGCAGAATGCATGTCAGCCTTGCAAGGCATAGCAGTAGGTGGGGTCCCTACTGAACTGTTAATGTAGTCAAAATTTACATACCTCATGATGATAACTGGTTCCAAAATAATATCTGATTCAGTTTTCTTTTCACACACTCAACACCTTGCCCCATAGTTTAACACTAGCTGGATGTACAGTCAGGTTTTGAGCACAAGACAAGTACTCAGGATGTTAATTTCCTCTCATGTAGAAGACCTTCAAGACACCAAAAACTAAAGTGTCTGACTTCATTGACTTTACCTCCTTAATCTCTACAAAATGCATTTCTCTTCATCTTTCCATTATAAAAGGCATCTGAATTGATAATCCTACATTTATGACACCCTTTTTTGGTGGGTGCCAGAAATCAAAATCAGGACCTCTAGTTTGCCAAGCAGACACTGCACTGCTGAGCTACAGCCCTGATTCCCATATCACCCTTTTATATGACAGCTAGTGTCAGTTATTTAAAAAGTCTAACATTGTTCATTTTTATTGAAATCAAATAATTGCATGCTGTTAATTAAAATGTCTCACATAAGAAAATAATGGTCCAGCATACTGTCATACTGTTGTCAGATAGCTACAAAGTCTATTTTTAACTCTAAAAATTTCACAATTGAGGTACTTCTCATTCTGAAAATAATGTTTTACAAAGGAAAAAATTTAAGATATCTATGCTCTGCTTCTTTTCTATTTAATTAAACATAATTGACACAGGGAGAAAACTAGTAGTTTTTGACAATGTAAAAAGATCTGAACAGATTTTATTTGTTGAAATTATTATAGCTGCAAATAATATTACATGCATTCAATATCAAAAGAGAAAAATGTAATATTTTGTAACAATGATAAAATAAAAATTAATAATTTCTCAAAGCCAGCAAACACTAATGTTGTGAAATTGTGTTTGAAAGCTGTATAACAATAAACAGCTATAGTTAAAGTAAAATCTTACAGGTGAATAAGCCACAATAGCAGCATAAATAAAAGGTAGTGGATCTTACTCCATCAACAACCCAACCATGCTCCACATCACTAAATAATTTAAATCAAAAAATAAAGTATATAAAAATACCCAGCTGATGACCAGGCCTCAAGTAGCTATGGCTAGTATGTCAAAGATCAGCTTCTTTACATCCATTTCTACAACTATGGAGAGAAATCACACAAATTACATGGACAGCATCCATATAAAGGGTTTAATGGTTGATACACTGTGACAATTTGAGAAGGTTAACTAAGTGACTCAGCAGGGGGTCGAGGTCATCATTTTATAAATATCTTCATCCTGTGCAACAGGAGGGCACGGGGATGGTATGAGCGCTACACCTGCCCTATGGGAGGGTAGCCTGCTTGCAGTATAAGGAAGGAAAAGAAGCTTGCTCTCCTTGTGCTTGCTGCTTTGCTGTCTTCTGCTGCCTTTAATTGTTGCCCTTCACCGTGCCACCTTGCTTTGGAACCAGCTGATTACAGACTGAAACCTCCACAAACTGTGAGCTAAATAAACCTTTCTTTCCTTAATTTGGGTCAGATATTTTGTCTCAGCAATGAGAGAAAATAACTAGTCACAGAGGGTGTACTCCCTATAACCAACAGTTAAT